ACCCCCCCCCCCCCCCCGCCATCACCACCATCTTGCTAACTCCTGTATATAGCAGACTATTTTCAAGCTAAGAATCAGTTTTAACTGTAGTTTTAGGAGAGTTAATCTCTGCTGGCCTATCAAGCCCAAAACCAAAGAAAATAAAGAAGACAAAAACTAAGTGCTATATTTTAATGTGAGCTTTTCTGGATCAATCGTCTTCCATTCAGTGTTTTAGTGTAGTCATTTTCAAACTTCCTGGTTTTATCTTGAAGAGGCAGACACAAAATCATACTGGTTATACACTGATTGCCGATAGCCTTATACTTGACATGGCTAAGAAAGATCTCTGGTATGAGGAGTAAAAAAATGTGCACAATGTCACTGAACATTCTATAAGACATATAAAAAGCAAAAGTAGTTGTATTGGTCTGGTTTTTTTTTAAAAAAAACACCCACCCCACATGCTGAGAGTTCCCTCCACCCACTAGGCAGCACTGAGCAACTGGACTTCAATTGGCTTTTCACCCAATTTACTTCCCAAAATCAGTCTACAATTTTCTAAATATACAGATACTCATTTTCCCCTTTACCTCTTCTCTTTACCTATCTATGAAAGGACACTTTTTCCTAAAGGCTAGAAACCGTTTGGATAACAGCCAGATGTTTCAAGAATAGGGTTCAGGCATTGCTTCTCCATCCCAGAATACCCAGAATACAAAGCAGAAATTGATTCCATGATTTGTTTCCATAATCTCCATCTTGAGCTTGGATTGTCTTAAAACCTGATGATGATAAAAATCTGGTCATCTTTTATCTTTTTTTAAAAAAAACCTTCCCTTTTCTCCCTAACCTCTGATTTTTGACCATCCAGTTTGATTGTAAGTTCTGGAGAAAATAAAGCTTGCATGTTATTTATATTTAGTAATACTCTCAGTGGGTCCTAGTTAACCTATTGCTAAAAGTGGGCTTTTGAAGTGTCTGCTATATATGGATCTAACTTTCTCTTCTACCTTGGCTTAGCTGTAGGAATCTGTTCCTTGACTGTGGTAGTCAGAGACCAATAAGCAGAAACTAAGATCGAATCTCTCTGTGTTGGTTTGAGTGTTCTTGGGAACCTTAGAGGATCATTTCCTGTCACTCTTCTGGCCCTCAGGCCTTCAGCCTAAGTCTAACTGACCAAGGGAATGGAAGCACTTGCTACAGAAGCCTCGGCTTATGAAAGGCACTTCATGAAAGGCTGCAGCTTCTTCTTTGTTTGCATCAGAAGCAACCCAGTGGTGTTTCTGGAATGGATCAGCTGACAGGACGCTGTTGTTGCCCAGGGGACAACCGGATGTGTTTTTTGGCCTCCAGTTTCAAGGTATTAATAGTTTCCTTTCTTTCCAACAAAAAGAAGAAACAGAATTCATGTATGCTGGACCCAAGACTGTTTATGATTTACAAGTGCTGAAAGTGAGACGTTCGGAAGGAAAGCAAAACAAGCAGACTGAAGAACAGGATTTTTTTAAGAAAAACAACAACAACCCAGGATATTCCTCTTAATGACTGATATTTGAAGAATGACTAGCATCCTGGACTAGGACATGTGAGAGCACACAATATGTGAAGGAACAAAGCAACAACACTGAAGCCCTCCAATAACATACCAAAGCCCTGACTCAGCTGTGTTGTTAAACCTTGTTGGAAATCCATCACTAACCACTTGCCTTGGCTTTCTAATACAGCTAAATGATGTGTCTTCTCAGGTGTGGTGAACAGGGTATTCTGACTTCAGGGAAGATGCTGAGCAAAGCCTGCTTGGGTCTGCAATCTCTTGAACCAATGTTCATATGATCTGCCTAAACCAAACAGAGTTTCCATAACATCTGCCATCAGGAAGGTGTGCTGATGACACATAAACTCTTTGTAACACACAGTTTGGGCAAAGAGTGACCTGATCTTCACATGCAACAGAATGTGCTGGTAAGATGGACTTCAGATTTCAGAGAAGACAGTCCATTACTAAGTGATTCCTTTAAACTCCTCTACACATAAAACTAAGACGACAGACCAAAGAAGTCCTGAGCTAGAGCAAGAGCTGAGCAAAATTTTTCAGAATACAGTTTTCTCTCTCTCTCTCTCTCTGCCCTGACCCTAGAAAAGCAGCCACTGTGAAAAATCCTCTAAATCTTTCTTCCGTCTTTTGTGTATCTGCTGCCTTTTTTTTTTCTCTATGATGACCTGGAGGAAACACTCTGGGGCATTATTGGGGATGCAAAATGGTGTCTGGGCTGCCAGGAAAGTTGTGGTTGCCAATGGCACTTGTGAATACACCAAAATGGTAGTAGAAATGGGGAACCTTTGTTAACGCCACTCTGAATGACAAACCCCCAAAAGGAAGACTGTTGGGGGAATTTCTCACATCCATATTAGATGAAACAGTGCCTGCAATTTCTCTCTGCTGAACTGAGAAGAGAATTTTGAAAGGCTTATGTGAGCCCCATTTTCCTTAAATTTTAGATCTCTGTTTGCAGAGAGGGCTGTTGATTAGAGATTGGCATGAACAGTTCAGTCTAGTTTGGTGCTCTGCCCATGCAGGCATTCCATGGGCTTCCCTTCCTCGCCTCTTCAGCGCAATCACCCACTCATGGGCAACGCTATGGGTTCCCTGCCCCAACTCCTCATTTGAGGGGGTACCCTCTGGAGGAGGCAGAGGAGGGAAGCACACATTGCTGGTGGTAAATGGGTGATCACTCAGTGGATGGGGTAGGGAAGAGTGCGATGCCCATAGACCACCTGTATAGGTGCAGCACTGAACCAGGCTGAACTGTGGTTTGTGCCCATCTCTATTGTTGATTATTATCCTCATCTAGCAGGGAGGCATTTAGAAGTCCATATATATTAGCTGTATGCCATTTTTGCACTGAAACACCTCTCTCGCCCCCCTCTCTCCCTCTCCCTCTCCCCCTCTCTCTCCCTCTCTCCCCCTCTCTCTCTTTCTCTCTCTCTCTCTCTCTCTCTCTCTCTCACACACACACACACACACACACTTTACACATATTTTAAACATAAAAGTTTCAGGTTACGCATTTGTCTCTTCCTCCCACCAGTCCTGTGGCACATTGTGAGAGACTGAGTCTATGAAATGTAGTACATCCCATTTGTGATATGCTCGAAGACCAAAATCCCTCAGGCACACCAAGAATAATGTCAGCCGTGCAGAGACACTTTTCCAAAACACTTGAAAGCCTAGCATACTTTCCTTTTCTTTTTTGGGACAAGAATGAATGTGACATATGGTGTCGTATCCTCAGAATGTGGCCTTCATTAAAAAACACAACATTCATTCTTCCAAAAATACTTCTTGGAACACAGTTATTGGAAATATTCATATGACTTGCTGTAACTGTGGCTTTAAAAACACCCCTTGCTGTTTTCATCCATTGGTCTCTCATGAACCCACATTTTCATAAGCTGCCTTTGAAAAACAAAGAGCAATTGGGAACTGAAGTAATGTTTCAAGGAGCACCACAACAACAGGTATGGAAAGGAACTACTGCCAAAGGCTAGTGGTCTCTCCTGTAAAAGCATGGGGGAGAGGGTACTTGTTATTTTTGAGTTTTGTTGATTAGCTTATACAAGAGGTCATGTAAGAGCTACAAACAAATGTCATGCAGGTGTGAGTCACTGCTCGAAGAAGGAATTGTCTTAGGAGAGCTGAATTCCAGGATTAACCCTTAGCAGATAATTAAATGGAAACAACATTTCAGAACAGGTATTTACACTTGGCTTTAAAAGAAAGACATGGTGGTGCTGGAAGACTAGCAGTCATAAGATCGAATCCACGCGACGGAGTGAGCTCCCATCGCTTGTCCCAGCTCCTGCCAACCTAGCAGTTCGAAAGCATGTAAAAATGTGAGTAGATAAATAGGTACCCCCTCGGTGGGAAGGTAACGGCGTTCCGTGTCTAGTCGCGCTGGCCACGTGACCACGGAAACTGTCGACAGACAAACGATGGCTCCAGAATGAGCACCACGCCCTTGAATCGGACACGACTGGACTAAATGCCAAGGGGAACCTTTACCTTTACCTTAAAAGAAAGAGCTGGCTGGATAGCTCAGTGATTTGGATACCTGACCACAGAGACTGAGGGTTCTCCACTGTGAGTCCTGGGAGAAGGGCCAGTCTGGGTACCCTTGGGCAAGCTGCACAGTCCCAGGGCACCGCCAGAAGAAGGGAATGGGAAACTGCTTTTGAGTGCTCTCTGCATAGAAAGCCCTGTAAAGGTTCACCAGAAGTTGGAATTGTCTTTATGGTATGTAAATAATTAATTTAAAGGAAAGATGTGAAGGGATCTCTATAACTATCAGAGGTGTTGGGGCATCGTAAAGAATTGACCCCACTATCCACCTAACACCCAAAACAAATGGTATAAAAAGAAGTGGACAGCTTATGACCCATGACCCATATGTGTCCTATGAACCTTCTTTCAGTACTGCTGAATTCTCAGTCATGCCAACAGTTTTCTGCAAACAAAGTCATTAGATGCACTGCACTGCAGAGGTAAATGAGGGAGGGAGCACATGCTTTCTTTTATCTCTGAAATTCCAAGAACCTGGACATTAGAAGGACTGAAGTCTTGTTTCTGTTTGTCCTATGCTTGGGAAGCAGTGAGAAGGGGAAGGTGGTTTTGATGGAATCTAGGAAGCTGGAATTGCCCAGTACGGCTAGGAAGAATTACTATTGGATGGTGCTTTTGTAGCAATTTACAACAGATTGCACACAGAAATGAATGCAATCAGATGATTGCATGCAAGGGAAGCTGTACATGTG